TTGCCGCTTTTTTCCTCTAAGATTTAACCAACAAAATATTAACAGATAGTCAGGATACACCTCAGGTAGACAGGTAAGTCAAACACCTGTACAGGTCCAATGGAAGTTAAGTTTTACTGTCTATTTCTTGTCAGACCCCGTGTTGAACTGCCTGATGAAGGGTCTCAGAGAGAAACCTCTGTCTGACTTTTATTTTGATGAACTGTGTACTTCCTGTCAGACCCTGTGTTGAACTACCTGATGAAGGGTCTCAGAGAGAAACCTCTGGCCTCAGCAGCAGCGAAGGCGATCCACAACATCTGCTCAGTCTGCAGAGATCACATGGCTCAACACTTCCAGGGTCTGCTGGATATCGCTCGCTCACTCGACTCCTTCGCCCTGTCCACAGAGGCCGCCGTAGGACTACTCAAAGGTAAATCGGTACAACTGTAGTGACATCATCAGGTCAGTACACTTGTTGCTATGTTCTCACCTGTTTGCTTAACCTGTGCAGGTACAGCTCTGGTCCTGGCTCGTCTTCCTCTGGAGAAGATTGCAGAATGTCTCAGTGATCTCTGTGCTGTTCAAGTCATTGCTCTTAAGAAGGTGAGTCACCTGTTCACCTGTTTTAATGTGTTAATGTGTGTGTGTGTTAACACTAGGACCGCCAGCATTCTAGCATCCCCTAAAGCCGCCACAATGTCTCCCAGACTATCATATGTATTTACATTGTTTGGTTTACAAGCAGCTGTTGAAGTGGATAAAATAAGTGTTATTACTTCTCCTTCCTCATATAATGTTGTGTTGGGGGTGGGGGTGGGGGGGGGGATTATGTTAGAGAACGATTGACTAATAGTGACCGTGTGGCACCGCCTGAGGCACCTATGGCACACACCTGCATCTGGAGAAGGTGTGTGCGCTCTCATGTCGCTCTGAGGTTTATTTGATTGTTATTTTTTGTTATTGTTTATTATCAGCAGTCATAGTTTTTTTTTTACAATGGTTCCACCTGGAGCTGATGAAGCCTACGAGCTCTCACAGTCTGTCGTGCCTTATGTTCTGGACCAGACAGCAGCCGGCAGCACAGTTGAGATTTATTGGACTGAATTATAATTCTTTATTCGTTCAAAATGAGTGTGATTTTAGATGTTACTGTTTATAGCCTATAGGCCTTTTATTTATAAAATCAAGATCTAGTTTGTACTCACAAAATAAAGTTTGGAGTGGACATACTGACAGATGTGCCAGCTGACAGTGACTTTCCTCATCACTAAAGCATCAGACTCACCCTCGCTCAGGTCCTGAGGAAGTAACAAAACCTCTTCATCGTATATTCTTCTTGTTTTTCCTTCCTTCCTTCTCTCTCTCTCTCGCTCTTTCTCTCCCTCTTGCTCTCTCTCTCTCTCCAGACCCGCATATAAAAATGTAATGTTAAATGAAAACAATAAACAGTGACAAACATAGACGGGCAAAAACTGCAAAATGGAAATATGTTATAATTCCTCTGGCCACAGCGGTCAGAGGAATACAAGCACCGAAATCTTGTGTATTTTATTTTAATACCTTCTAGGCTTCAGAAAACATCAAAAGCATATACTGAGGAAAAGTCAACCTGTAGTTTTGTTAACAGGTGTTGACAGGTGTTGTTTAGCTCACACTCAGGATGTATGTTTAGTTAACAACAAAAGAGAAAACGATGAAACTAAAACCAGGTTTCATGTTGATGTTGTTTCAGCTTCTGGCAGAAGAATCCACAAATGGTAAATCAGCTGATCCCACCGTCTGGCTCGACAGACTGGCTGTTATCTTCAGGTGAGTTCACCTGTTCATTTACCTGTAGTCAAATTTTTCAAACTGGATTCAAATGAACAGACACTGAAGGTGAAAGGTGTTGTTTGTTTTTCCTCAGACACACAAACCCCATTGTAGAGAACGGACAGACTCACCCCTGTCAGAAAGTCATCCAGGAGGTAAAACACCTGGTCTCACCTGTTTCACATGTGGTTTACCTGGAAGGCTCATTTTAATATTTACACATAAAAAGTATTTTATTAATAAATAACCATAACTCACCTGTAGATCATATTTGTGTCCCGCGACTCACCTGTAGATCTGGCCGGTGCTCTCAGACACCCTGAACACTCATCAGGCTGATAACAGGATCGTGGAGCGATGCTGTCGCTGTCTCAGGTTCGCTGTTCGATGTGTTGGGAAAGGCTCGGCCTCCCTGCTGCAGCCACTTGTCACTCAGGTGAGACACACCTGCACCTGTGCCTAATGAACACTTAAATGACCTTTCCCATTTCAAGTGTTTCCTGATTGGATATTTGTTGTCATCAGATGGTGAGTGTATACCAGGTGTATCCACACTCCTGCTTCCTGTACCTGGGCAGCATCCTGGTAGATGAGTACGGCATGGAGGAGGGCTGTAGGCAGGGACTACTCGACATGTTACAGGTAATAATACACCTGCTCTCCAGCTACACTCACCTGTTCACACCTGCTCTCCCACTCACAAACAAGAGACTTTGGCTGAGCTGTGATCCAGGCTGACTGTATGATGTTGATGATGATGACGACGATGACCTCTTCCTCCTCCAGGCTCTGTGTATGCCAACTTTCCAGCTGCTGGAGCAACCAAACGGTTTGAGGAATCATCCCGACACCGTGGACGACCTGTTCAGACTGGCCACCAGGTGAGTCAGCCGGGTCACCTGAACAGATACTGTTTACCTGCTGAGGGTCACCTGCTGAGGGTCACCTGCTGAGGCTCACCTGTGTCTACCTGTATGTGTTCTCAGGTTTGTGCAGAGGAGTCCTGTCACTTTACTCAGCAGCAGCATCATCGTTCACATCATCCAGTGTGCGATCGCCGCCACCTCATTGGACCACCGAGACGCCAACTGCAGCGTCATGAAGTTTGTCCGAGACCTGATCCATACCGGGGTCGCCAATGATGTGAGTCCACCAGGACAGAGACAGAGACTGACACTGTAGGAACAGACCAGGTTCAAGAGTCTGTTCATCAGGCACCTCAGTTTAATGTCTGTCTCTCACCTGTCTGTCTGTCTCTTGTCTGTCTCTCCTCTCACCTCTCTGTCTCACTCCAGCACGAGGAGGACTTTGAGGTGAGGAAGCAGCTGATTGGTCAGGCCATGGAGCAGCACGGTCAGCAGCTCGTCACTCAGCTCATGCACTCGTGTTGTTTCTGTCTCCCGCCATACACGCTGCCTGACGTGGCCGAGGTGCTGTGGGAGGTCATGGTGTTTGACAGACCTGTGAGTAAACACATCAACACCTGCTCAGGTGTGTCAGTTAGGTGTACCTGCGGTTCCTGACTGTGCTGTAACCTCTGTGTGTCATTTCAGACGTTCTGTCGCTGGTTAGAAAATGCTCTGAAAGGTTTACCAAAGGAGACGACAGGAGGAGCTGTGACCGTCACTCACAAACAGCTGACTGACTTCCACAAGCAGGTCACCAGGTGAGTCACCTGCAGCAACAACAGCAGTCGACGTCTCACTGACCCTGTAATCATTTGACTTCATCTCCAACATGAGTCAAATCAAAGATCCAGCAGGTGATCCAGTGGACAGGAGATCATGGGATCATTCAGATGGAGAGACGTGAGGCATTCAGGGACATGTGGGGAGATTGTGAGGCATTCAGGGACATGAGAGACTGTGAGGCATTCAGGGGCACGTGGGGAGATTGTGAGGCATTCAGGGTCACGAGAGACTGAGGCATGAAGGACGTTTCAAACAGCATTGGACGTGTTGCTTGGTTTTCTAAGTGTGCTGATTGGTCGTTTCAGCAGCCTGAGGCTTATGACAGCTTTCTGTCGAGACTCGTCAATGTGAAGGTGGAATGCAGTAAAACTGGAGTTCGTATGGCGGGTTTAGACTTGAAATCAGGTGACACCTGAGTTTACCTGAACACACTGAACTACAGGAGGGGGATGTTTTAATCTGACAGTTTTATAGTGACAAACGTCTGATTCAACCTGGACAGGTGTAAGTTTCCACATATTTACACCTGCTGGAGTTTAATGTTTTGCTGCTGTTTTCACCGAACAATAAATTCTAACACTGATCAAATAGCAACACCTGCAGAAATACAAACTTCACATGAAAGACACACATGACGGGCTCTCTGTCATAGTAACAGTGTCTCTCACAGTCCACTAGCCTAGCAGTAGCCCTGTTGTCAAACTGTTGTTTCTTCTCTTCAGTGCTGAGGAGTGTAAACAGGTGTGTTGGGCCATCAGAGAGTTCACCAGACTGTTCCGATAGCTGCAACCTTCACACAACACCAGGTAACTAATCATACAACACAGGTAACTTTATTCTTCCAGGAGAATCAACATCATGCACTGAACTTGAACTTTCCCTCTTCAGGTTAAATGTTTTGTTGACCAACATTCAGAGGTGACGGCAAAAAGCTGCGACTGCAGACGAGGATCCAAAGGGATGAAGATGGAGAAAATGAAGATGATGATGGAGGGACTTTGAATGTGAAACGGGACGAATCACTCTGAAAGACTGACAGAGTGAGGACTGATTGGACAGACTGAGTCCTCTCCCGCAACCCCTGAGCTCACCTGAGCTCACCTGCAGCAGGTGTCAGGTGGGCGGGGTCAAGACCGGGAGGAGTTCACAAAGTGAACTGATGCAGATCAGTCCTATTGGATCTTCACTAGTGATAAATCAGAGGATGTGCCTGGTCAACAGTTTTTAAGAGAAGATTTATTTTTGGGACTTTGGTCGTGATGTTTATTGTCCGTGCCATAAAAAAAGCCAAACATTTCCCATGATGCTTTTGGCTGAGCGGCTGCCTGAGGAGGCGTAATGCTGGAGGATTTGGCGTCACCTTTGACCTTTTTAACTTTGGTTGAATTTTAGTTGTTTTTCCACAAAGTGAGACAGAGGGAACTCTGGGTAATGAGACGGAGAGACTGACACCATGACATCATCGGTGATGTAGCCTTGTTGTAAACAATAAAAAAAACAGCTGAAACAACAAAGTGATGGTTCAGTGTTTTAATGTGTTAACCCTGTGAGACGGGCGGGTGCACTGAGCGCCACCTGACTCATTACTGCCCCCCTGTGGCTGATGAACAAAGACACACTGCAGATTTTCACAGTGGCACTTTTTCAGGTTTGGTGGATCAGAATTAGGAGACGGCATCTGAAAATCACACAGGTGAGATTTCATTACAGTGTTTACAAGTGTTTTCATTCAGTGTTTATAAGATGGTGTCATTCAGTATCAGGGATTTGTCTTTCTGTTAAGTTCTATTTAGTCTAAAGTAACTATGAAACATATTCAAGGTGACCAACAGTCCAAAACCCAAACTATTCCAGTTTAGTGTGGAAGGGGTTTTACTGCTCGACTGCTTGTCCCAGCACCAGTTTATTCATTAGGCCTCACATATCCATGTTACCAGGGTAACCAGCTGATGGTTGTTTTACATATTTCCTGTTGTCAACCAGATTTTCTCAAAGTGAGAAGGAGATGAAATCCAGACGTCGATTCAAGAATCAATCATTAGATCAGATGTAGAGAGGCAGACTGAAGAACCACAATATGTTCAGGTGTCTTCACTTTGTTATCTTACACCATCTGATGAATCTGTACAGGTGATGTCACTGCTGCCCTCTAGGTAATGTGATGTCATCATTTCACCTCTGTCCTTTGTGTTGATCTTTACCTGCGGAGATCCCGTCTAAGAGTTCTGGTCAAGCTGTTTTTTTTGTTTGTGGTCACCTGATACTTGGACCTGGGCCAGCAGAGAGACCAGACCACGTCCTGAGAAACCGAACCAAAGCAGAAACATTTCATCCTGTCCCGACTTTAAAGTTGTCAGTGATCCAGACAGAAACGTGGATTTCATCCTCACTACAGAACAAACATCCTGATGATTTATGTTTTCTTACAGTTTGTCTTGATCATAAACAATTGTGGAATCATTAAAGTCAAAACAGCAATATTAACAGTAAATGAAGAAATGTGGCATTCAGGACACTTGTGTTCTCTCTTTCTTGTGAAACTGCAACTAATGATCATTTTCATTGATTTATCAACCAATTGTTGTCAGTCATTTAGTTTATAAATTGTTAGTAAATAGAGACAAATGCTATCACAGTTTCTAGCCTTCAAATGTTGGTTTGTCTGACCAACAGTCCAAAAGCCAGAGATTCAGTTACTGTGACAGAAAACAAGAAAACTGAAAATACTAACATCTGATTGTTCGACTCATCGACCCGATCGCTAATCGATCGGCTCTACTTTCTTGTCGTGAAGGAAAAGTCAGGAGGTAACTAACATCTGAAAGCTTCATCCACTGAGCACAAAAATGTTTTCTGCAGATTGTCTGTGGAACCAAATAATGAGATGGATCTGGACTGAGTGCTGAGGACCAGATCACAGTAAAGACCTGTTTCCTGGTTAATCAATTAAAACTTCGTGCAGTCTGAAAGAATACTGCAGCGGTGTTTATTTAAATCCTGAACTTAGTTACATAATGTAAAACAAAATGGTGGTCACTGAACATGTCAGAGGATAACTCAGTTCAACAGTGTTAGCTCACACAGAGGAAACATCTGTTTCACTTCCTGTAAAACTGAGCTTAGATCAACTGATGAAACATTTTTTTAACTCAATATCAGTTAAACAAACCAGATGAAAAGTGTATCTTTGAAATAATCTTTGTTCTGATCAGTTTTGATCGATCATCAATAATCTTTAACAGATGCTGTAGAGCAGCATCGACATGAAGTCATCAGGACTTCACAGTGTGAAAGGTTAATTAAAGGACCAGTTCAGAGGTTAATACAAACACCTGGAGAGTACAGGGACTCTGGACAGGAAGTGGATTAACTATTCGTCTCAGGTCCTCCGGAACCTCTACACGTTCTGGGGCTGATGATCATCCCCTGGATGCGTTTGATCAGGACACGTTGGGGGTCCAGGGCCCCTGGATGTGTTGGCTCTGCAGGAGCCTCTGCAGCTCTTTAAACTGCTCCACTGTCTGGTCCTTCACATCAGGATTTGAGATCTGTAGTCGGATGCTGTCTGTGGACCAGCTGAGTTCTCCAGAGAACATCTCAGTCAGGATCCGAGCCACCACAGGAACCACCTGAGGACAGCAACCAGGTTAAAACTGGATAACCACAACTACAACAACCATGTTACTGCAGGAAATTTGTCAAAACAACCAAAACCTTTGGTACAGTTGTCCCAAAGCTTTCCACAATCCCCAAAACTGGTTTAGTGCCCCCCAATGATCACATTCAAATGTGCAGTATGAATCTTTTCGATAGACTCGGAGACCAGCCTGCTGACCTGGACCATGATGAGTTTCTTCTCTTTGGGTTTCTTGTCGGGCCAGTCCTCCCCAAAACAGAAGTAGATCTCAAAGGGTGGAGGATTCGGAGCTTCACCTTTCTGGAACAGGATCAGTCCTGAGGACAGAACATTTATTTGAACATGAGGCTCAGAAGTGGAGAAACTAAACCTTCAGAGCAGAGCATTCAAACTCGTTACCTTGCAGGAAGTCATTGAGGCTGAACACTTTGATCTTCTTTTCCCTCTCCATGGGATTCGGTGGACCCTGTTCGGGCATACCTGGTCCAGACCAGAACACCTTACACTGACAGAGGCGGACGGCATAGATGTCTTGTTCACAGATCTCCAGGATCAGACCTCTGTCCATCACATCCAGCAGGGCCTCGGTGTAAAACCGCTGCTTCTGATTCTGGATCTCAGACGTACCTGGGAACAGGACCTGCTGCAGGTTGATGGGTCCAAACAAGTCCACCTGCTCCGGTGTTGGTTCCAGGTGTCCATAGTACAGCCGGCAGCCCTGAGGGTTACTGACAGTCAGAGAGCCCATGGTCCTGCCCCTGTACTGGAACTTCAGGTCCAGATCTGTTACTACGGCAAGAGAGAGAGAGCAGACTGTTACTACAGCAACACCGAGACACGGACTGTCGTTGGATTGTTGAGATTTTTCAGTGTGAAAAATGTAATTGTAATAAAAATGAAGTTGGTGACGACTAGTGTCACGTTTCTGAGTCAGACAACCCTATTGGCTCCAGTGGGAGCCAACCAGAATGTCTGATTCAGAGGCTTTGCTGCGAGTTGCTGGATTATTCTGAGCTCAAAGCAAATAGAAGTTAACTGTAGAGACAGAGAGAAATCAGTAAGATCTTTAGTGCAGCTTAGGGTTTGTGGAGGAGAAACTCCAGACAGACCCTGAAGTTAACCTGAAGTTAGTCCTGAAGTTAACTTGAAGTTACCCTGATGTTAACCTGACACATCCTTTGTCTTCAAGATGGAGACCAGTTACCTGAACATCCTGCCAGCGGAGTAAAACCTTGTGGACCCATGAAGACCTCTTCACTGGATGCATAGAGACTAAATCTTTTGAATGTAAATCATCACTAAAACCCAAACAGGGTTAGGGAGGTCACTGGTTAAGGGTCAAAGGTTAGAGATTGCACTCACATGGGATGCTGCTCAGCAGATCATACTTGCAGGGTTGGTGGTTCTGAGGATCCCCCTGGGTCTCAATGCCTCCCATGCTGCTGGACTCCATTAGGTCTGGCCCGGGGGCAGCAGAGGAAGCCGAGGGGGGTAGAGAGTTCACGTCCTGGAGCCCGTTAGAGAGTCCTGCAGGATGGACGAAGCTCCCCTGATCCACCATCTGACCCCGAGCCTGAAGGTCAGAGGTCATGGGGAGGTCAGAGGTCATGGGGAGGACTCTGTCAGGGAGGAGGGGCATCGGGATCACATGAGGAGGTCGAAATGTCCCACTGGAAGATAGACTGAACTGTTTCACTTCTGAACAAGCCGAGAAGGAGCTGAAGGAGGAGGGGTCATTGATCCTGGGGTCTGAAGAGACATTACATCATTACATTGCATCATGACATCATCAATCATCAACCTTGTTTCCATGGAGACTTGCAGGAAGTTTTACTCACTGATGGTAAGGTCCATCAGGTTCGGCATCTGAGAATAAAACAGGGAAGTTTTCATCAGTCAGGTGATAAAATGTGAAGAGGCTGTACTATAGATTCCTACACTTTTTCTTCCTCACCTCCTCCTCCTCCTCATCGACACCGTCTGAAACAAAAACCACAGTCAGACTCAACAGGAGCCCAGCCGGTAGTTCAATCTTGTGTGATCATTCATTTCTATCATTTAAAATCTTTACTGGGACAGTCAGCTGACTGGTTATATAATGTTGCTCAAGTTTAAACTTCCCTCTTGTTTCTGGTTTTGATCAGAATCTTCAAGTTTTTATGAAGAGTTATGACGTTACGATAAAGAAGACGCTGAATAAGTTGGTGGTAGAAGTTGAGTTAACTCTTCTCAGAACAGTAAAAACTCACTGAGAACAGGAAGTTCACCCCTGCACAGGTATGAGATGGTTACAGTAAGGATCACCTGGGTTCCCCAGCTGCTCGCAGACCTCGTAGATCTTGTACGGTTGGACCGGAGTCTCTTTAGTGCCGTCATACTTCAGCTGAAACTCTCTGCTCTTGTTCAGAGCACAGCGAAGGTTTGCTTTCCACTTGGCTGGGTCGGGTTCATCCACACCTTCCTGGTATTTTCCTGTCTCCAGAGCCCATGCCTGGAAGACACAGAGCAGCGTTTACAGCATGTGCATAGATTTACATACATATATTTAATGTAAATAGTGTGATTTTACTCAAGTAACAAACTATAAAAAACAGCAGCAGATCTAGCTGCGTCCTGTTGTTTTATTTCAACAATCTTAAGACAAAGTAAAACAAAAATACCAGCTAAAAAGAAGTGGACACGTAAAATCATCTTAAAGGTTCAATGGAACCATTTTAAACTGAGGGAAATAAAAGCAGAAGCAGAAAAGAGGAAGTGACATCATCAGTAAAGTTCAACATGGCCATTATTGAGAAACTGAAATGAAACTGAGGAGCAGCTTTACTTTCATTAACTGTGTCAATGATTTATTTTCATGAAAACATATTTTATTTTCTTGTTTTATTGATTTTTCATTGCTGAAGCTGATCATCCAGATAAAAATGTGTCTCCTACAACTGAACCCGGTCCAGCTGGAACCGGACTGACTGAACCTGGACCGACTGAGCCCAGACCAGCTGGACCTGGACCGAGTGAACCTGGACTGACTGAACCTGAACCGAGTGAACCCGGGCCGACTGAACCTGAACAAGCTGGACCCTGACACATCATATATGATCATATTTGGCCATCATCGTTGTCATGGTCAATCGTCTGTTTGTTGCGTCACTCTCAGACTCTTCTTTCATTTTTCAGTCACTGAACAATATTGATGAATCCCCTGCGTCCTAATTAATAATCAATAAGGCTTCTGTCTTAAATAACAATTAACAGGCCGCTTCAGCGTCACACTGTTAATGACATTAATGATCAGTTGTTTTAATCAGCTGATCGTGGTGATGTTCAGACCTTGAAAATGGTGTTCTCTTCATCGGACGTTGGCGTGTGGCGTGTAGCGTGTTTCCAGGGGATCTGGAAGAGTCGGTGGTCTGGACTGAGCCACTGTAGACCAGGATACCTGCCACTGTTCACCTGAGCTAGAAGCCAGGGCTTCAGACGGATCCTCCGAGGCTGGATGCTCATGGTGAGAGCCTAGGCGGGAGGGGGGTGGGGGGGGGGCTGGGAGCACTGGGTGAACAGGAGAACAGGTTCAACTCACAGCACACATCACTGCACTGCTTCATGAATAAAACATGTGAGAAATATGAATTTATTTGTGGCTGTGTTGCCATGGTAACGGTGTCCTGTGACCTTCAGTATTATTAAATCCCTCACTTTATAAAACTGGTCCTCAGAGATCCACACTGATCTGTGACCAGTCTCTGTTCCTTAAAAGTTTTGGGAAGTCAGTGAGTCATAGTCCTGGTCTAAGACCTCAGATCAATACAGACCACATCAGATCAGATCTCTAATCCGGATCTATGTGGTCCTGAGAAACTTGATCTGTGTTTAATTAGAGTAACTGAGCGCGCGCGCGCGCGCGTGTGTGTGTGTGTGTGTGTGTGTGTGTGTGTGTAGTGATTTTAGTGATGGACTCACCTGATCCTGGTCCTGTTTCGTGAGTCGTCAAACATTCGCGGGTTCAGACTTTAATCCTCTGCCGCGTCACGGTGACATCAACGAACAAACAAACTAACTAACTAACAAATCAACAAATAAACGAACAAACAAACAAACAAACAAACAAACAGAATCTCGGACAGAAAAGTGAAAAGAACCAGAAAAGAAAAAGAGAAACGTGATGGGGCTCGGCGATCCGTATCAGACTACAGTCAGGTCTGACACAATCAGTACTACTTCCTGTCCGACAGTTCACTACTAACAAAATAAAAGCTTTGTTGGTTATTTTAATGGTAGTTTGATTTTTAGAATAAAGTCATGTGTTTTTGTCAAATAGTTATAAAGACAGGAAGCAGGAATCTGTGCGGTGATTGGCTGAATGTTCGAGGAGGAAGAAGCCCAATATGAAAAGAAGAAATGCGACGACAAAGTCAGTTATTAAACAAACACATGATTTAAATCTGTATTGATCCAGTTACTGTCACTGCTGCGTGGGTTTGACCTAATTCAAGCTCTAACATCTAACTGGAAGAAATGGTCGTGAAAAATAAGGTGGAGGCGTGGCCAGTGATTTATTGTGAAGGTGTATCAGATAGTTTCCGGTGTGTTACGTCCCTCTACACGTGACTTCACAGTCTGAAAGAGTTTTTACAGAAGTCGGTCTACTTTAGGTTCCTCCCTTCCTCCTTCCGCCACTAACGGAAACTAAGAATGAAAAAGATTTAGATAATCAATAATATTGACTAATGATCAATAACGTTGACTGAGTAACCTACAAACACGAACAATTAACTAATTACTAACACTAATTAAACCAGTGTCTAACCTGACCGGTTGTTTACACTGAGTTCATCAGCACAGACTTTAGCTTACAAAATTTGAAATAAATATAAACAAATATCAACAAATATTAACATGTGAACAAATATGAACATATAAACAACTATGAACATATATAAACACATACAAACATGTAAACATATATAAACATATAAACAAATATAAACATGTAAATAAATGTAAACTTATATAACCAAATATAAACATGAACAAATATAACCCCCCTCCAAGACACCATGATGCATGTTACGTGATGTTTTACGTGGTGACCAGCAGGAAGTGCTGCAGACTGACTGAACTGATCTCAGGTCGGTGGAGTCAGTGATTTACAAAAACAACTATTTACTGTGAGAGAAGCAAACACCTGACTGCTGTGAAGCTCCATCTGTACAGAGAGAGGTGAGGTCTGAACACCTGGAGACACATGATATATATCCTCTTCATACAGGGTGTGTTCTTGTATGTGAATATGAACATGTTGAGTGTGTGTTGATGTTCATGTATGAAGATGCCATGACGCTGTCGATGTGTCACATTCAAGTTGCTGAAGATGTTGGTTATTACCTATTCAGGTGTGTCCTCAGGTGTGTGTGTGCACATGTGCTCTGGAGAAGAAGAAGAAGACAAGAAGGTGCTGATAGAAACGTGTAATTTAGTATGTCTGTGTATATCATAAGTTTATATCATAGACATATGTTACATGAATATATATCCATCCCAAAGCCTGTCAGTCTATGTTAATTATATATGTAAATATAAAAGATAGAAATGTGTGGTGAAATTTAATTTTAAAAAAATTAAGAAAATCATACACAAACATATAGAATTTAATATGTATGTTGTTTTAATAAAGTTACATTTTACTAAGAGTATTTCATTTGTGTTATAAACTTATATCTTAATATATCCAGACGATGGACATATGTCATAATAATATATCCTATTATAGATGACATATATGGTAAATTAACTCTAGATATAGGGACCAATATGTCATATATGTCATAAGTCAAAGTAAAATAAAGCATAAAAAGTAATAGCATGATAAGAACTAAAAAGTCGTAGTGTAATAAGGCATAAAAAATGTCATAGTATCCTTAAGAATAAAAAAATCAAAAAATGTCATGCTATAGTAACGCATAAAAAGTCATAAAAACATCGTAATAAGGCATAAAAACATCATAGTAGGGTAAAGCATAAAAAGTCATAGTATAGCACATAAAGTCATAGTATAGTAAGGCATAAAAAGTCATAAAAGGTTATAGTATATTAAGGTTTAAAAAGTCATAAACCATATGGGATAAACCATAGTATACTTAGGTATAAAAGGCTATAAAAAAAATCATAGCATAGTAAGGCATAAAAACGACATAGTTTAGTAAGGCATAAAAAGCTATGAAAAGTCATTATCCTGCCCTCAGTGTGTGTCTGTACACAAATCGACAGGTAGCGAACAAAACTTGAAGAAATCCCAGAAGCTGGAGTAAAGTTTATATTCTTTACTGTTGTCTGCAGCTCTTCAAGTTACAACTTGTAAAACTGAAATAAACGAAAATATGGTATGTTGCACACGTTATAAAATCTACTGTGTGTCAACAAAAAAGAAAAGATACAATGCCAAATGCCACCTGCTAACTCTACAAATTCGTCCTTTATCTAACATAAATTATGTATAAAATTCACTTGACCATAAGACACGTTACACTCAGATACAGATTAACATGACTCAGCAATATAAAGAAGCTAACAAATAAGTAGCAGCAGTAAGCAGCAGATTAAACAAAGTTTTAGCTTTAGCTTGTAACACAGAGCTTAAAATACATAAACACAATGTTGTAAAATGTGATTCTTACATGAACAAATGATACTTACAAGCAATAAACTGAAGGATGGACACAGCTTCAAAATACAGGTAGAAAACTCAAAGCAGACCTCATGGCAAAACTAGCACTTTCTGAAGAGAAGAGGAAAAAACTGGCTGACCTGGCTGCATCACATGACAAACTTAACCTATAGCCTTGAAGCTGGAGAAAACTCAAAATGCCCACCAGAAGGAGAAACACAACATTTTGAATATAGAACATAACAGTCATAGTATATTAAGGTATAAAAAGTAAAAAAAAAAAGGCACAGTATAGTAATGCATAAAACACAGTATAGTTAGTAAAAAATGCTACAAAAAATCATGTATAGTAAGGTCATAAAAAGTCATAAAAACATCACAATATAGTAAGGCATAATAAGTCATAAAACGTCATACTATATTAAGGTATATAATGTCATAAAAACATCATAGTATAGTAAGGCATAATAAGTCATAAAACGTCATACTATATTAAGGTATATAATGTCATAAAAACATCATAGTATAGTAAGGCATAAAAATTCATAAAAATTTCATAGTATAGGAAGGAATAAAAAGCTATAAAACGTCATAGTATAGTGAGGCATAAAAAGTCATCGTATAGTAAGGTATAAAAATTCATAGAAACATCATGGTATAGTCAGGCATAAGAAGTCTTAAAAAACGTAATAGTATAGCAAGGCATAAAAAGTCACAAATACGACATAGTAAAGTGAAGGAAAAAAAGTCATGAAACGTCATGGTATAGTAAGGTATAAAAAGTCCAAAAAACGTCATAGTATAACAAGGCATTAAAACGACATCGTATAATAAAACATAAAATGTTATAAAAACGTCAAACTATAGTAAGTCATAAAAAGTTATCGTATAGTAAGGTATAAAAATTCATAGAAACATCATAGTAAAGTCAGGCATAAGAAGTCTTAAAAAGTCATTCTATCATAAGGCAAAAAATGTCATAGTATATTAAGGCATGAAGACATCATAGTATATAAGGTATAAAAAGTCCTGGACATAAAAAGTCATGGCAAACAAACAAAAGGCAGAAAAAGTCATAATGTAGTAAAGCATAACAATGTCATAGTATGGTAAGGCATAAAAAGTCATAGTTTAGTACGGCATAAAAATGTCATAGTGTACTTAGACAAAAAAGCGTCAAAATACTTCTTAGTATATAAAGGTAAAAAAACATTAAAAAAAATGTCAGAGTATAATAAGGCCTAAAAAACACAAAAAGTCATAGTATAGTAAGGCATAAAAAATATCATAGGACAGAAAGGCATGACAAGTCATAAAACATAACAATGTCATAGTATTGTAAGGCATTAAAAAACTTCATAATATATTAAGGCATAAAAAATGTCAAAAAATGTCATAAAAACCACATAGTATAAGCTATAAAAAAAGCCATCAAAATGTCATAAATACAACATAGTATAGTAAGACATAAAAAACATCAAAAAACATCATAGTATGTAAAGGCATAAAAATGTCATAATATGATAAGGCATAAAAACGTCAAAAACGTCAGATAGTAAGGCATAAAAAAAACGACAGTTTAGTAAAACATAAAAAGGATATAGTATAGTAAGGCATTAAAAATGTCATAGTATATTAAGTCATTAAGTCATAGTAAAGAAAGTCATAAGGTTATAGTGCAGGAAATCATGAAATCATAGTATTGGAAGACATAAAAAAGCCATAGTATAGTAAGGCATAAAGTCACAGTATATTAGGGCCTCAAAAGTATTCATGATGAAATTTTCTTGGGATTTTTCAACAGAAATTAAAGTCATATATATCCACCATTTTATGTTTACTCCTGCTAGCAGCCTGACTGTTAGCCCTCAGAAGACAGAAGCACATACAAACAGCTGATCACAATTTTACACTCACATACAAAACCTGTTTTTATCTTTTTAAATCTGATCAGAATCAAACTGGAAAATAGAAACGACTCTGATCCTCACAGATTATCAATGTTTTTATTTGTAATCATCAGACACTGATCAACAACAGCAGACAGGAAGTCAACATGACAGGAAGTAGGGATGCCGCGATCATGTTTTTTACCCCCGATAGGATCATCTATGAGTGAGATCGGCCGATATGATCATATTTGTCATGCATTGCAGATGGCGTACGTTATATCATTCTCATACACTTTGTTAAAGTTGCACACAACCAACATGATGTTTTGATTTGGTGCCTGTTGGGCCGGGGCGGGGCTACACTACACAGCACACGGTCTACCCATCACGTATTTTTAATTAAAATCGGCCGATCTTTTCTGGCATTCCAAACAAGAAGTCAACATGACAGGAAGTCAACATCACTTCCTGTCCAGGAACAGGAAGTCAGCATCACATCTCTTAGCTCTTCATCATTCATTTACTTTTTTCTGCTCTCTGATTGGCTGCTGACCATCATCCTGTTCCAGTAACATCTCCTCTGATTGGGCCATTTTCATGTGGTCGAGGAGTCCCCTAGTGATCATCACTGTGAACACCTGGATGGTCCACACTCTGACACCTGCAGATCAGTCTGACATCTTGGTGTTTGATGAGCAGGAGGATCAGTGATGATGATGGAGGATGATGATGATGGAGGATGAAGCTGAGAGAATCTCCTGGTGTAGACTCCCTGTCGGCCATGTAAACTCTCTGACTGTGAAGAAGACTCGCAGTGACGACTGAAAGCTCTGGTGTTGTAGGAAGAGTCATCCAGAGAGAAAACAGGTCGGCTGGAGCTCACCTGTTCACAGAGAGAGATTAAACCTGTTCACAGAGAGAGATTACACCTGTTCACAGAGAGAGATTAAACCTGTTCACAGAGAGAGATTACACCTGTTCACCTGTTCATAGACAGTGATTAAACCTGTTCACAGAGAGAGATTACACCTGTTCACCTGTTCATAGACAGTGATTAAACCTGTTCACAGAGAGAGATTATACCTGTTCACAGAGAGATATTAAACCTGTTCACAGAGAGAGGTTACACCTGTTAACAGAGAGAGATTATACCTGTTCACCTGTTCACAGACAGAGATTAAACCTGTTATCAGAGAGATATTACACCTGTTCACAGAGAGAGATTATACCTGTTCACCTGTTCACAGACAGAGATTAAACCTGTTATCAGAGAGATATTACACCTGTTCACAGAGAGAGATTATACCTGTTCACCTGTTCACAGACAGAGATTAAACCTGTTCACAGAGAGAGATTAAACCTGTTCACCTGTTCACAGAGATAGGAAGCACACCTGCAGCAGGTTCAGCCTGGTAAAAACATTAGTGACACTAGATTTAGACTGACTCCTGATTCACTGTTCACACTGAGACTGTAATCTGGATTAAACACGTTTGCATAAATGTTTATAACTCTGTGATTTACCGAGAAAATAATAATAATAATAATAATAATAATAATAATAATAATAATAATTATTATTATTATTATTATTATTATTATTATTATTATTATTATTTTCTCGGTAAATCACAGAGTTATAAACATTTATGCAAACGTGTTTAATCCAGATTACAGTCTCAGTGTGAACAGTGAATCAGGAGTCAGTCTAAATCTAGTGTCACTAATGTTTTTACCAGGCTGAACCTGCTGCAGGTGTGCTTCCTATCTCTGTGAACAGGTGAACAGGTTTAATCTCTCTCTGTGAACAGGTTTAATCTCTGTCTGTGAACAGGTGAACAGGTATAATCTCTCTCTGTGAACAGGTGTAATATCTCTCTGATAACAGGTTTAATCTCTGTCTGTGAACAGGTGAACAGGTATAATCTCTCTCTGT